GTTTGAGAGAGGCGGGGCATAGAGGACCTACAATAATGTACAGTATTGGAAAAATAATGTGTTTTTTGATCACTAAAGCATGTCAACATATTCTGTTACACCAAATACACAAAACAATGATCTTTAAAAAAAAGCATCATATGACCCCTTTAACTAAACCTGGTCAAAACGATATTCATTTTGATTTTTTTTTTTCAGCTTGAAACAACTTGCGGCGCAAACCCAGTAACACTGCACAGTTCATCACACTCTATTCAAGTCTTGCGATCTCTAGTAATGAGCTGATGAGTTGAATCAAGTGTAGGAGATGAAAGAGACATCCAAAACATGCAGTGAGGAGGGTACCCCAGGACAGCTTTAAAAAGCACAGATCTAAACACCACTCCCAACAGCATGGGTGGAATCGAATTATTCAAACAGTAAAATGCTGTTCAAGTATTTCACATTTTGTTTACCACCTGAACGAAGAATGAAACCTTTGCTGTTGGCATATTGCTGAATTTACTCAAGATGGAGTGGATCGTAAAAACACAGTACACCTATTTCTTAACCTCTGGTTTATCGTTTAAACCAGTTTATCGCCTACCCCAACTCGTCTTTAATGCATGCTCAAACTTGGTGCAACTTTACAAGCCAAATTTGAATGAGATTGGAGAACTTGGTGGAAGAGAAAACTGATCGAAATAGTGACCTACATTTCCATCTATTCCTTACACAGAACACATCATCTGGACTACTTTTATGGTGCTGTTTTTGTCATAGCTCAACAGCCCACACCCATCCCCATAATGAAAAACCATACGTGTAGAAAATGTTGTGTTCCACAGAGAGAAATGTCATACTGCTTTAGAGCAAAATTAGTGTAAGTAAATGATGATTCAACTAACCCAGGTTTTCTGGAGGCAAACCAACAGTACGCATTTTGGATGTCACCCTTTTATGACCCTTCATTTTTGGTCCTGAATTTTCAAACTAACAAATTGATTAGTGGAATTAGGTGTGTTTGATTAGGGGTTGAGGTTGGAAATGAAATGTACAGGACAGTAGCTCTGCAGGAGCAGGGTTGGAGACCCATGCTGTAGAACAGTGGTTCTCAATCCTGGTTTTGGAGTACCCCCAACACAGCACGTTTCTGATGCCTCTCTTATCTGACACACACATTTGAGGTCTTGGAGCAGGGCTGTCCAAACTCGGTCCTGGAGGGCCGGTGTCTTGCAGAGTTTAGCTCCAACTTGCCTCAACACACCTGACTGGAAGTTTTCTATGCCTAGTAAGAGCTTGATTAGCTGGTTCAGGTGTGTTTAATTAGGGTTGGAGCTAAACTCTGCAGGACACTGGCCCTCCAGCCCTGTCTTGGAGTCTTTACTAATGAGCTGATGAATTGAATCAGGTGTGTTTGATTAGGGAGATATCTAAAATGTGCAGAGTGTGGGGGTTCTCCAGGACCAGGATTGAGAACCAGTGCTCTAGAACTGCGGTTCTTAATCCTGGGCCTCGTGACCCCCCTGCTCTGCACATTTTGTATGTTTCTCTTATCACTTCAGAGGTTTGTTCCATTTGACCGAAAGTGCATTGCAAAGTGGACATCACGGGATATTCCACCATGATTCCAGGTCGAAAGGAGCATACATGTTCCATTCAAAGGGCATTAAAGTTGTGCGAGACCTGACTGCAAATTTCTTGATTACGGTTAAATAACCCTTCACACTTCTGAAGTATGTTTTGTCTGTGTGTGAAGATGCTGCAGGTAGTGATGTAGTGCAAATCCGTGTTCTTAAGTGAACTTCAGCCAATTAAGAACTGTTCCTCTAGAACAGGGGTGGGCAAATTTGGCCCTGCCAGGCCACTCTCCTTCAGAGTTTAGCTCCAACCCTAATCAAACACACCTGAACAAGATAATCAAGATCTTGTCAGGTATACATGAAACTTCCAGGCAGGTGTGTTGAGGCCAGTTGGAGTTAAAGTCTGCAGGACACCGGCCCTCCAGGACCAAATTTGGTGACTCCTGCTTTAGAACAACACTAGCCCCTTGTCCAAATACCCACACTTGTGGTCTTGGCCACTTGAGAGCGCGTGCGCGCGACAGGAAGTAAGTGCGCAAGACTAAGCGCAGTGCCCTTAACGCACACTATCTCGAATACCGCTCCGGAGCGCTATTCGAGGCTTAGTGTATCCCATCATGCATCATGTTCTGGAAATAAATCGTGAGACTTTTTGCCGAGATCTCATGAGAGGTCACGGAAACCTTTCCAATGCAAGCTAAATATTAATATAATAATTAGATATTACATATAATTTGGTAGAAAAAGTGTTACGTTTTATTGGTGCAAAGATGAGTAGTGGTGATATTTATTTTGTACATTTGCAACTGCTTTTTATCACTTAATTAGAAGCTCCACAAATTAAAATTGTCATGTTATAGGGACTACTGAACAGACATTTAGAAGTTTAGAAATTTAAAATTTAGAAATTTTAAAATGCAAAGTATTTCAAATTAAAATAAAGCTATGTAAACGCTTGCATTTTTACAACACTACAAGTGTGTCCCATCAGGTAATTAAAAGTTCTACACACATTTGTGGTTTTCATGCTCACTTGAACACTTGGGCCAAATACAGGAAATACGTCATAAGTGGTCAAGTGCAAAGACCGCAAGTGTGGGTATTTGGACAAGGCAAATGTTAAGTAAATTTATTTTTTTTGGTCAACCAACAGTACACATTTTGAATGTCTCCCTTAATTAGCCCATTCATTTTAAGTTTTGAAATCTCAACTAACAAGCTGATGAGTGGAATCAGGTGTGTTTGATTAGGAAAAGTTTGAAAATTTGTAGTTTCGGTGTGCCTCCAGGAACAGGGTTGGGAAACACTAAACCAGGGATCTCCAAACCTGCTCCTGGAGAGCTACTGTCCTGCAGACTTCAGTTCCAAACTTGCTCCAACACACCTGCCTGTAATTATCAAGTAACTCTGAACACCTTGCTTAGCTGGTACAGGTGTGTTTGGTTGGGGTTGGAACTGAAATCTGCAGGAAGGTAACTCTCCAGGAGCAGGGATGGAGAGCCTTGAATGAAACTAACCCTCCTCTTCCAAACAGCCGGAATTGTTCATTTCAATCAACCTCTGTGTTTAAACTCAGACACGTGGGCTTTCTTTCAGGTCAAAGTGGAGCTGGGAACAACTGGGCCAAAGGCCACTACACAGAGGGAGCAGAGCTAGTAGACTCAGTTCTGGATGTAGTACGCAAGGAGTCCGAGAACTGTGACTGCCTGCAGGGCTTCCAGCTCACGCACTCCCTGGGCGGAGGCACTGGTTCTGGGATGGGCACCCTCCTCATCAGCAAGATCCGTGAGGAGTACCCTGACCGTATCATGAACACTTTCAGCGTCATGCCTTCCCCCAAAGTGTCGGACACAGTGGTGGAGCCCTACAATGCTACGCTCTCTGTGCATCAACTGGTGGAGAACACCGACGAGACCTTCAGCATTGACAACGAAGCACTCTACGACATTTGCTTCCGCACACTTAAACTTACCACACCTACTTACGGCGACCTGAACCACCTTGTTTCAGCAACAATGAGCGGAGTCACCACCTGTCTGCGATTCCCAGGTCAACTTAATGCCGACCTCCGCAAGCTGGCAGTCAACATGGTGCCCTTCCCTCGCCTCCACTTCTTCATGCCCGGATTTGCGCCCCTGACAAGTCGGGGTAGCCAGCAATACCGTGCTCTTTCAGTGCCAGAGCTAACACAGCAGATGTTTGATGCCAAGAACATGATGGCAGCCTGTGACCCGCGACACGGCCGCTACCTCACCGTGGCAGCCATCTTCCGTGGCCGCATGTCTATGAAGGAGGTGGACGAGCAGATGCTGAGCGTCCAGAACAAGAACAGCAGCTATTTTGTTGAATGGATCCCAAATAACGTCAAGACGGCAGTCTGCGACATCCCACCACGTGGGCTAAAAATGTCCGCCACGTTCATCGGCAACAGCACAGCCATTCAAGAGCTGTTCCGCAGGATTTCAGAGCAGTTCACCGCCATGTTCAGACGCAAGGCTTTCCTGCACTGGTACACTGGCGAGGGAATGGATGAGATGGAGTTCACAGAGGCAGAAAGCAATATGAATGACCTGGTCTCCGAGTACCAGCAGTACCAAGACGCCACCGCTGACGAAATAGGCGAGTATGAGGAGGACGATCTTGAAGATGAGGAGGACGCTCGCCATTAACACAGCTGATAGCCAAATAGATGTAGTTTTCAAAACCATTGCTTTTAGTTGATCTGAAAATTTCCATAGAAATGTAAAACAGTGCCGCTACGCCATAATTCAAAAGGTGCTACTGTGTTTAATTGATGTTCAGGAAAGATACAAGTTAACAGTCATTCAGTGAACAGCGATCAATCCATCTTGGGGAACAAAGGGTACATTAAGACATGTTTTGTAACATGCAGTTGCCAAATAAAATAAAGTGGTCACTAATATAAATGAGTCTCCTGTCAAAACGGTTAATTCATTTTTACACATTCATTCATTAAACTCAATCACAAAAAAAAAAAAAAAATCTGACCTTTAGCCGGATGACTATAAGTAAAGTAGATTCATGGGTTGATTCCCCTAAAGTAGGGGTTCTCAACTCTGGCCTTCGAGGTCCACTTTCTTGCAGAGTCTAGCTTAAACCCTAATCAAATACACCTGAACAAGCTAATCAAATTCTTCAGGATTTCTAGAAGGTTACAGCTAAACCCAGCAGTAAAATGGACCTCAAGGGCCAGAGTTGAGACCTCCTGCCCTAAAATTTTAATGCTGTGACTCTGTCACAACACTGCTGTTTGAGGATCCCGACCAGCCCGACTCACCAATGGCCAAAATTTGGGGGAGGAACTACCCATTTGTCAACCAATGGCAGATGGAGGGAGGTTAATGGGAAACCTTTCTTAAAACATTCAAACAAGAAAGCAGGGTAGTCAGGTCAGCGAAACAATCCCAATTGCTATTCAAAACTATCCCAAAACTAGACCAATCACATTTTTCTGTGGGTTTCCCTTCCGTCAGGAGTCTCCTCAGGTGGAATAGCATTCTGGGGGTGACCGCTTTAACCCGCAGCAAGAGTGTTAAATAATGCCTGGAAAGTGGCACGTCTGGTAACTTTAGTGTAAAAATTGCCCAATTCAAGAAAGCCACTTAAAGACTTAGTTGACCCAAAAATTCTGCCATTAATACTCACCCTTATGCCATTCCAAACCCGTAAGACCTTCATTAATCTTCAGAACACAAATTAAGATATTTTTGATAAAATCTGAGCACAGAAAATACATCCAGAAACGTAGCAAGGACATCTGTAAAATAGTCCATGTGACATCAGGGGCTCAACCGTAATTTTACAAAGCTACGAGAATACTTTTTGTGCACAAAGAAAACAATAATAACATTTATTCATCAATTCTTCTCCCCGAGTTACCATTTTGGAGAGTGGCCCAGAACGTAATCAACGTAATCAGCGTTATTTACGTTCTGTAGAAAGCGCGCGCATGAAGACAGTAACTTGGGGAGAAGAATTGATGAATAAATGTTATTATTGTTTTCTTTGTGCACAAAAAGTATTCTCGTAACTTCGTAAAATTGAACCACCGTTGAACCACTGATAGCACATAGACTATTTTACCGATGTCCTAGCTACGTTTATGGACCTGGGAACATTGCAGTTGCATTGCGGTCTAGGGAGGGTCAGAGAGTTCTTAGATTTTATCAAAAATATCTTAATTTGTGTTCCTAAGATGAACGAAGGTCTTACGGGTTTTGAACGACATGAGGGTAATTAATGACATAATTTTCATTTTTGGGTGAACTAACCCTTTAAGACGCATTCGTGTTTACATGTACTGTTAGTGGCTACCTCGTAATACCTTTATACCAGGGATTTTAGCTAAACTCCAGGATGCTGGCCCCTCCAGGAGCAGGATTGGACACTCCTGGTTAATACAGTAAATATTCAGCCTGCTCCACCTGACGTTACTACCATATTATGAAATATCCTAGTCAAACAACTTAAGGTTGGTTTACACTACACAACGTTTGCCCAGATTTACAGTCTGGAGGAGTAGACGGTAGAGACAGTCTTGAGACTTTGGTCACTCGAAGTCGACAGATTTTTGCAGAAAATCGCATAGTGTAAGGTGGTCACAAACACCGATTTCTTAGCTTCAAACTAGGATTCCACCTAGACATGTTTGATATTTTTAGACAATTTAGAATGCATATGGTTTTAATTTGCCATGCATATTTTAAAAATGAGGCACATGTTTCTGTGTGCGTTTGTTGTGTTCAGAGCAACTTGAAAGTCTGATAGTGTGTGATCCTCAGTCATTTAGTGTATAATTTACAGTCGGCAAGATACGCAAGCGTCACACATCTGATTGTGATTGGCTCAACTGCTATGTGGCCTTACATATGTCAGCAGAGAAGGGAGTCATATCATAGGAAGACAAGTAACATTCATTAAAGAAAAAAAAAGTTAATTATGATTTCATGCCAACTTTAAAAACACAAATAGATCTTTAATTTTCAAATCTTTCAAACTTTATTGCACTGATTTAAAGAAATTGATCTTTAAATGTGTAAACGTTTTCTAAAAGTAATTCTATCAAAGACATTCTTGATTTCTCAATATAAATATTCAGCATTCAAGTGGAAAAAAAGCTTGTTCTGTGTCTTGCATTAAAAAAAAAGATGTGATCAATACATAGTACTTAGCATCACTAAATTATAATAAAAGTACAAAACTAAATGTGAAACCCAACCCAAAATAAGTCTGTTTTTGCAACAATAATGGCAAATCAAAATATCAAATTATATTAGTATTTAAAAGCTACATCAAACATCTCTCCTCTTAAAAGTGCTTAATGAATTAACGTAACATTTACAGCTCACAAAATCATCACAACCTGATTTAAGGTTCATTTTTAAATTACCTTATAATTACTACTACACAATGCACATTGGCCACTTTACATATTTATGAGATTTAAAGGTGGCAAATGCAAATGATTGTCTCCGAGATCAATTTGATCCAGCAAAACACACCATCTGTTTTATTCAACCCTAAATCCCTAAAGGGACAACACAGCAAAGCCGATGAGGAGGTAAAGGAGCAGCTGGTTGGTCATGCTGTGATGGGGATGAACGAAAGACTTACAATTACGACAGCTTGAACGATGGAGTGTCTCTTCTGTAGTGTTTGACCAGTGTAATACTGACATGCCATCAGATGGGGCTGTTCTCGTCTCTGACAAATGAGAGGACACTGCAGTCTGTAGAACAATTACGCAACCGTGACTTTGTCGACATCTCACCGCTCTGACATTTCCCGTGACCTCTGGAGAGACAGAAAACAAATGTCAGCTCCATTAACACAGAAAAGAATTCGATTCGATTTTTGGTCAAGCGTGAACGCAAGGAGTTTTCCACTAGTGCTTTCTGCACTGCCTCTGGCGGTCTGGAGAGAAAGGAAAAAGAACAGAATTTTGCTCTTGAAATAAAATAAAACGAACTGGAAAAAAAAAATTTGTTTTATTTCAGCTAGTTGTCAAAGCAACATTTTTCATTTTCATTTACTTGATGTACTAAAATGCCTAAAACCAATAGTGAAACAGAAAATGAATAAAAACTCAATATACTTTTAAAGAATAATAACAAAAACTAAATTAGGAAAACTTTAAAATTATAATGAAATCAGAAAACATAATTCAAAATGTTAATCAAAACAAAAATAGTCTCTCAATGATACTAAAATAATAAAAGTCCCATTGGGTAATACTAATCTAAAGTTCAAAACACACTTGCGGTCTTCATACCCACTTTGCAAGTGTGGGTAATGAGACGGGTGCTTTGGCTTCAAAAGACCGAATGTAGCACAGCAGCCTTGTGTATCATTTTCATGGTGCTTTTACCATCATGTGTTTGTCCTCATTTTTGGAGCTTGACAACTGTGGTCTTTTACCTTGTTATAAGGTAAACGACATGTGTGAAAGGTTGGAATGGTGTAAGGGTAAATTCATGACAGAATTTCCATTTTTGAATGATTTGTGGCACGTGAGAGTACCTGCTGTCTGGGATGAGGTGCAGCGTGCGGTAGAGGTCAGCAGTGGAAGGCATCTTCACCGAAGCTGCTTTAGGGGTGGAGAACAGGGACTTGGTCACGAGCGGTGGAGTGGACTGCAGTTTGGCCTCGGGTTCTGTGCCTAGAGATAGACACACGAACCGTGAACTTCAACTACCAAGTTCTACAAACAGAAAAGCGATGCATTTCAGATTCATAAACTGATCACCAGTGAGCAAGTGTCAGACGTGGGATGTTTTGTAGGGTCTCAGGGACACTCACCAACTGATAATGCACTGTCAGACAATGCAGATCTTTTACGGTCTACAAATGGAGTCATGTTCAAAAACTGGGTCTTCAGCCATGCAGCTCGATCTTCTTCAAATGCTTTCCTCTAAAGAGGGAAGAAACTAACAGGAGTTAGGGGCTGTTCACAAAGAACATCTGCTCGAGTTAAAAACGGCCGGATGGAGTGCAATGATGTACCAAAATATCTGCAACCAAAAACGTATAGTGTCAGAGGGCCAAAAATCCCTGCCCATGGTTTAATTAGCTTTTTTTCTCGGATGGTGTGTTTTGATTGTGTCAGTGGCTTTGGTACGCAAACAACACTGACACACTGCAACAGGTAAACATGTCAGCTGTATGGATGTGAAGAGCTTTCAGTTCATTGTTAGAAGCTATGGACTCGGATGATGAACAGATGTTTTACTCTGATGTTGAGTGAGTTAGTTTGCTTATTTAGGCCATATCAGCCGCAAGGCTATCTTTAGGCAAAAACAGATAAATGACAAGTCATGCAAATTACCAAAATAAAAAATAAATAAAAAATACATATATAAAAAGATATTTAAGATTAATACTAGACAAAAATTCTAAAATACATTCAGGTGATACTTTAAATACATCAGCTAAACACATCTCCTAACATTAAAAACAGTGACAGTCCAGTCCTGTTTAACAGGAATTGTAGTTTGACAAGGAAGGCATGATGTTGGTGGTTCACCTTTTAATAAATAGCTTTGTGTTTTGTAAGTCTTAAATGGCAACTTGATCATACCTAGATTTGAAAACAGTAATTTTTTAGATTGACTTATTTCCGTGGCATTCATCCCATTCCATCTGCCACACAAGAGTTTCTCGAAACCATTCAAGGAAAATTAGATTTCTAAATGCATGCCTCCTTTAATGTTAATTGTAATAAATGTATTTGTATGTATTCAGTACCTCGTGTCCCAGACGAATAGCAGCTTCAGTGAAATTCTTCCTCTCTCGCTCGAAGTTCCTCTTCTGCTCATTGAAGAGTCTCCACTCCTCTTTGAGCCGCTCTTTCTCCTCCAGTGTGTAGCAGTCGTTCAGCAGAGCTGCCGTCTCCTCATCGC